CTACATGACCCACTAGCAGTCTGATGTAAAGCTTCCCAACAGGCTCAGTCTCTGAACAGATGCCCCATGTACTGTTATCTCAGAAATTGCTGGCATTAGTTTGATGTGCCTGTCCTAAGAGAAGGAGGTGGTTTGCTATCCTGTGGGCTTAAATAGATGAGAGCCTGAATTATTCTGAGCACGAAGACCAGTACATGCCAACAGCAAGTCTGCAAGATTGACAAGAAAAATATTCCTGTGACCCAAGTCAATAAATTCAGTCTCTGTCTGATATACAGAGGCAGCATTTTAGAGATATGTAAATTAATCCTAACTGCAACCAGATAATGTAAAAAAAACTTTGTCTTCAGGCTTTCCTCTCTTGAAAGTTATACTCTCACTAGTGCACCAGTAATGATTTTTGTAGCTAAGTTTTGACTTATGTTGAGAGAGGCCAGAAATATGAATCAATATGTACAAACTTGTACTGATTTAACTAAACTGAAAGAGGTTAGCTTGCTTTAGCCAGACTTAATTCTGACCCAAGTATCCATATGTGAACATGTATGCACCCTGTACATATAGGTAAAGCAAGCTATCCATACATGAACATGTAGTGAAATAAACCTGTTTTCATTTTATTTCAAATTCATAATGTGATCCCAGAACTAAGGTTTTTAGTTGTGGTACCACCCACTCAGATGTAGATCTGAGATTTTTATTGCTTCCTGAATTTCTATCTGATAACTTTTAGTACTTATATCCTTTTCTGAATGGTAAAAATCTGCGGTGATTTTCACAGTATCCAAATATCTACAAAATGGCATTCTGGAAAAACAAAGCACTCGGGGCTAACCTGTATGAGGCTCCATGCATGAAAGAGAAGATTCATAAATCAGAACAAAGTTCATGCAGTAGCTAATAACTGGTTGAGTTGAGGCAAGCCATGACACAGTCTTGGAATAGAGCCTACTAGGCCTTGCATGATCACAGTGACAAGGCAAACCTCAGGATATTCAAGGTCACATGAATTTGGTGACTAGATTATTCCAAGGCGAGATGCTTGGGTTTTATCCTCTGTGTAATAGTACATCTTTAATGTGCGTTTCCCCCTTGCTATACCTGATCTTTATGATTTTCTAGAGGTTTCCCCAAGGGGATGAAGAAGGGTATCCTACTTGCCCCACATATACCCCATTCTCTCTTCAAAGGGCCATAAATTCCACATTAAGTTCCATGTAGCAAACAGGATTGTTTTCTTAGAAACCCCGAGCAGTTTCACCCTGTGAGATGCATAAGCTTAATAAAATCACAGAAGTTAGGGAGGAAAAGAGCTTTATTACATGATTTAGTGCTAAAACCCTTGTCATCCCTGGCCAGAGCAGGATTATTCCTTACAGTATTCTTGCCATAGATTTACTCAGTTTAATTCAAACAAGGCAGCTTTCACCCCTTTCTTAAGGGTGATAATCCCTCAAGGCCACCTTCTACAATACAGGTATTTTCAAGGAAGATGAGTAAGCACTAGGCAAACCATGGTTAAGAAATTCATAAAGTGATCTGGAGGAGAGGCAGGAATTAAATGATGTGTGTTGAGGGGGAGTAGATTTCTCTGGCATGGCCCACCACTCCAAAGAACAGTAAGAGGTCTTATGCCAGCAGCAGTCTCTGCCCTGTCTCCTTACCACTTCAGAGGAAGAGGGCCTGAGATGCCTGAGAACATTCTCCTTTCTATTGGCATCATGCTGCAGCTTGAATGCTTCAGGCTACATGTGGAAAAAAATGCTTGACTAATTAACATAATATGCTTTCTTAAATGGCATGGCAGCTTAAGTGACTAGAAGTGCTAACCTTTAATACACCCTATTTCCTTACTTCACAGATGAAGGAACAGGTGCTGCTCTCAGTGCCACAGTGCCGTGTCAACGCAGACACTGGCTTTACTCTCATTCAGGGTATACAGTATCTTGTGTGGTGCCTGTCTCCTTATATAACTTTCATGCATCACAGATGCACCCCAGTTCAAGCTGATTAATCCAGAGCCCTCTATAAACATCTTATATGGAATTAAACTACATGCGTCTACTCTCTGTTCTGTAAACCCTCAAGATTATTAAATGAACCTTGCCAATACAACAGACTGGCAGCCATCTAATCTTCCTTCTGCTTGGCCTTCAAGACAAACCCAGACATGGATGGTATTCTATAAAACAATCTGAGTTTCTAGTTTAAAATGCCCTTACATTCTAACAATGACACCGTGTCCCAAATTGATCGCAGAACATGCAAAATCTAGTCACTCTTCCA